ACAAAACAAAACTCACCAAACAGCAGTATGGTTATTACCAGAAGAAAAGGGGTAGGAGACACTTATAGGGGAGATAAATCATGATGGAAGGACACTTGGGCTGGTTAACACACAATACATATAGAGATGATGTATGATAGAATTGTACACCTGAGGCCTATGTAATTTTATTAACCAATGTCACCCCAGTAAATTCAATACAAATGTATAAATAAATCAAATTTAAAATCCTATGTAATAAAACCCTAATATGCAAATTGACTAAATGGCAGAATGACCAGTCACTATGATGCGCAATGATTACCAGGGGGCAGACGCTCAACGCAGGAGCTACCTGCAGTGGGAGCGCAGCTCAGCCAGAAGCCGGGCTCACAGCTGAGGAGCACTCTCCTGCCTCCAGGGCAGCACTAAGGACCCCTCAGGGGATGTCCACCAAGGGGTCCAGACAGCAAAAGGGCATAGTCCAGGCTGAGAGACTCCCTCCACCCCCAGTGTCCATGTCATGCACTGGGCCTCAAATAAATAAATAAATAAATAATAAATAAATAAATAAATAAATATTTGTTTAGAGGTATTAAACAGACAACTGGATCTGGGTTCTGGAGCTCTGCACAGAGGCTCAAACTTAAAAAAAAAAAAAAATGCAAATTTGGGAGTTACCATTGTGTAAGCAGTCTATGAAGCTGGGGACTTGTCAGATCACCAGGAAGATAGTGTAGATGGAGAGAGGAGGGACAAGCCAGCACTGAGAACAGAGGTTGGCTCTGTACCCTGTCTACACCTGAGTTATTACAATACTGAGTCCCACCCCCTTTTAATTAGCTTGGAGTGGCCCCCATTCTCAGTTTTAAAAGAAAACTCTCAGGCAATTCTAATGTGCAGCCAAGGTGGAGAGCTACTCATGTAGTGACCAGAAAGAGGAGAGCCACAAAGGGGGAATGTGAGAGCAATGAGGGAGGCAGAGAAAAGCCAGAGGAATACAGACCCCTGAAGTCAAGCAAACTTGGGCATGGCAAAGTGCCAGTCATTGGAGACCGACTCCCCTGCCACCTTTCCTTTGGTGGCTCCTGACTGTCCAGGTTCTAGGCAGCTTGAAACGAATTGATAGGGTTCTGACAATAGATATTTTTAAAAAAATATATATATTTTTTTTATTGATTTTTTTACAGAGAGGAAGGGAGAAGGATAGAAAGTTAGAAACATTGTTGAGAGAGAGACATTGATCAGCTGTCTTCTGCCCACCTCCTACTGGGGATGTGCCCGCAACCAAGGTACACCCCCTTGACCAGAACCGAACCTGGGACCCTTCAGTCCGCAGGCCGACGCCCTATCCACTGAGCCAAACCAGTTTTGGGTGGCAATATGTATTTTATTGTGTAGATGACTACAAGGGCAGGCAGGTGGGCTCATGACACTCCAGAGACTGAGGGCTGGAGACCAGAATTATATATATATATATTTCCCACCCCCCCATTCATTTCAGAGAGGAAGGAAGAGGGAGAAAGAGATAGAAACATCAATGATGAGAGAGAATCATGGATCAGCTGCCTCCTGCAAGTCTTTCACTGGGGATCGAGCCCACAACCAGGGCATGTGCCCTTGACCGGAATCGAACCTGGGACCTTTCAGTTCGCAGGCTGGCGCTCTAGCCACTGAGCCAAACGGACTAGGGCCAGAATTTGCTCCTTTCATCAGCTCCTTTTATCTCTATCTGTAGGTTTGTAGCAGCTGTGCTTTCAAAAAGGGACTGAGAAGGGAGTTTATTTGCACTCTTGATTTCAAAAAGGACAGAAAATATTGGAGGACTCGAAGATAAACTTTGAATTTACTGAATAAATAAATAGTTGTTTATGTCTTCTTTTATCCCTGCAAAGTTTTGGAAGAAAAAAGCATGACTATTACAGAGCTGTCCCAAGAAAACTTTTATGAAGCCTGGCCAGGACCAGATCGTTAGTGGCAACCAAGACAGCACTGCCCACTTAATTGCACGGATCAGCGTGCTGAGGAGCTTGCTCCAAGGAGAGGGCACCTGGAGGCAGTTTAACCTTTTTGAGGTTTTGGCAAAGGACACCCAGGACCCGTCCAGTCAAATCCCGTCGCCATCATTTCTTTTCTTTAAGAGGTGACAAAGTGTCCACCTCCTGGAAGCCCCAACGTTCTCCCCACGTAATGGGATGAAATCTGAACTAAGTTCTTGGACTAGAGGGCAGAGCCCCTGTGAGGGCCAGAATTCTGGAGGCAGAGGGAGAAGAGAAGGTTCCAGCATTTCATAAAGTCTCCTTATTTCTCTGCCCTCGAACCCGGCTGCCTCCTTCTCTCTCTCTGGTGTCCTTGTCCTCTAATGCACACTCACACGGAGTCTAGGTCAGACCTTTCTAGGTGGCCCTGAGGTCTCTCTACCGGGTCAGAGCAACTTAGAAGCCAGAGCTTGAACATCCATGGCTCCATGGCCCCATGGGGATCTGGGCTGCAGTGGGATTGCTTGCCTGTCGCTATGGCACCCTCCAGGAGTGGCTTCAAGGCAGAGCCTTCAAGACTGACTTTTCTGTTTTCGTCCAGCCTCTCCCACAGCAGCTGCAGCAGAGGGCAGGCCTGGAGACTTGAGGGATGGAGCGACTCCCAGCCGGCGGCCTGTGGATGCATTATTTATGATGCTGGTGTCAGCATGGCTCCCAGGCACCAGGGGAAATGGAAAAGGCACTTGGGCCTATGCTGATTAAACTAAATATTTAAACAGGAATCAGGAATTGAGGCAAAATCCGTTTTTCTTCAGTAAGGCGGAGAGCGCCACAAATGTCTTCGAGGCTGGGGACTTGGTAAATACCACGCAGATGATGAGAAAAGGCTGGGAGCCTTGATCTGTGGCTCTCCTGCATGGCCAGTCCCGCCCAGCTCCCTCTCTCGAGCGGATCTGAAAGGTTTGCAGGTTACTTGGGAGTCAGAACAGGGGAGGGGAGACAGGGAAGGCAAAGTAATGGTCATAGCCACTGTGGGAATGAGATTAGGAGAAACCAGAACAAAGTCAGGTTGGATTCGTGCCTCTGGCTGTTATTTCTCCAGTGACTGCCATTTCCTTGTCTTACAAGATCTGTTCTATGGCATTCACCCACGTTATCACTCTTACCTTTAGATTAGCTGGAAGGAGGATGGATGGATATTGGGCAACCATGAACTAAAACTCTTGTCTTGATTCTTATTTTTTATTTTATTCTTATTTTTTCTTTTTTAAAAAAAATATGTTTTTATTGATTTTAGAAAAAGAGGAAGGAAAAAGGGAGAGAAACATCAGTCAGCTGCCTCCTGTATGCCCCCTACTGGGGATTGAGCCCACAATTGGGCCTGGGCCCTGACCAGGAATCAAACCAGAGACCTCTCGGCACATGAATCTAAAGTCAACCAACTAAGCCATACCGGCCATGGCTGTCCTGCGTTTTCTTATCCCACCTGAGACAAGTCCACCCACTGCCCACAAACACGGAGGAGACCCTCCAGAGAGGACACAGGGCACCTGGCCCCCCTTTACAGAGTCCAGAAATCCCCCGATCTGAGGAAAGACAAGATCCCAAAAGGAGATTTCCCTGTGGAAGGAAAGAAACAGCGGTTGTTTACTCTAGCTTTTCCCACTGCATTTTCTCTTTCCCCGTGGGGTTCCTCACTTGCATTTCCACAGTCATCACTTCCCTGGCCCCCCAGAGATGCCTTTTTCTCATCCCAGCATGAACAAGTGCCCTTTCCCTCCTTTCCTCTAAGACAGCTGAGACAGGCCCTCCTTTTCAAAATTAATTTTTACAAGGACTTGGGGGAAATAAAATAAAATAATTGCAGAAAATATAAATGGATAAGTTCAGGTCAACATTTTTGAGGTTCTTGTACTTGGTCAATGTGCTGTACCCTGGGTTTCCTTGGATGAAATAGCATTCTGGTTCTCAAGGGGTTCACTATCCAATGGGAGAGGCAGGCATGAGGATAGATAAGATATAACCGAATAAGGGCCATAATACCCTTGAGTTGGAAGCAATTAATATAGTTGCTGTAAGGGCAGGGTATGTCAGAGAAGGAATGAAAAAAGGTAATATTTGATCTGGACCTTCAATTAAAACATGGACTTTGTCTGGGAACGTGTCAGAAAGGACATTCCAGACAAAGGGAACTGCATGTAGGTGGTAGTACATGCATGACCTATGAGAACCAATAGCAAGTTGGTTCAAGGCCAGATTGTAAAGGCCTGGAGTGCCAAGCTAAGGAGTTTGACCTAAGCCTACAGGACTTGCAAGCAACAAGAGTACATAGGGTGTCCCCCCAAAATGTATACACACTGTAACAGAGGATAGCTCATTTGTAGGTCTTTCTTTTCAGATCTAACCCGTTGGAATTAATTATTCCAAGTGTGTATACAGTTTGGGGACACCCTGTATTTGTATTTAAGAAGCATAGTAGTGCCCTGGCCAGGTAGCTCAGCTGGTGAGAGTGTTATCCCAATACACCAAGGATGCAGATGCACTCTCCAGTCAGGACATACACAAGAAGCAACCAATGAATGCATAAATAAGTGGAACAACAAATCGTTTCTCTCTCTCCCCCTCCCTTCCTTTCTTTCTCTAAAAATCAATCAATAAATTAAAAAATTTAAAGAAGTATAGTCACCTGGCCAGTGTGGCTCAGTTGGTTGAGTGTCACCTCATGTACCGAGAGGTTGCCTTTGTTTTCCCAGTCAGGGCACAAGCCTGAGTTGCAGGCTCAATCCCCAGAGGGTCAATGTTTCTCTCTTTCAGTGTTTCTCTTTCTCTCCCTCTCCCTACCTCTCTATCTAAAATCGATAAAAATTTTAAAAAAAAGAGTATAGTGGCTAACATGGCATGTTGATTTATGTAAGAGTTTCCTGTGAGTTGGCATAAATATATCATGCTTCTAGACCTGCAGAGCTGACAATAAATACAGCATGAGCTAAAATACTGCCAACCACCCTTTCCCCAGCTGCTGGTAAGGTGCTCGGTTCTCTGATGAAGCGAAGGCCACGTTGGGGTGAGGCCCTCCCTTCATCTGGCAACCAGCACCGCTCAGGGCAGCCCTGGCCCAGCACTTGCCCGCACCTTGGCATCCGTCTAGGAGCTCACCTGTATCCACTCAGCTTTATCCTGCATGAGGATGAGGTGGCGGTGAGGGAGGATAAGATCAGTGCCCTCATTAAAGCAGCCGGGGTAAATGTTGAACATTTCCAGCCAGACTTGTTTGCAAAGGCTCTGGCCAATGTCAACACCGGGAGCCTTTTCTGCCACGTAGGAGCTGGTGGACCTGCCCCCACAGCTAGTGCTGCACACGCAGGAGGTCCTGCCCCCTCCACCGCTGCAGCCTCAGCTGAGGAGAAGAAAGTGGAAGCAAAGAAAAATGCACCTGAGGAGTCTGATGATGACACGGACTCTGGTCTCTTTTACTAAACCTCTTGTGTAACACATTCAATAAAAGAGCTGGACTCTGAAAAAAAAAAAAAAATACTGCCACCCTATACAACAGGTAGGCTCCCAACAAGACAATTTCAACAGAGAAAAGTATTTGAGAAGACAAGGGATCAATTAGAACTACAGCTAAAGTTCCATTCTTTTATTTTGCTGTTATGGACTGAATGTTTGTGTTTCCCCATAATTTGTATGCTGGAATTCCAATATGAAGCTCCTACTACTATTGTGATGGTCTTAGGAGGTGTGTGTGTGAGGGGGGGGGGTATCTTTGAGAGGTGATTACATTAAGGTGAAGTCTTCAGGAATGGGGTTACTGCCCCCCCTTCTCTCTCTCTCTCTCTCTCTCTCTCTCTCTCTCTCTCTCTCTCTCTATATATATATATATATATATATATATATATATATATATATAATCTTCAACTGAAACCAGTTTGGCTCAGTGGATAGAGCATCAGCCTGCGGACTGAAGGGTCCCAGGTTCGATTCCAGTCAAGGGCATGTACCTTGGTTGGGGACACATCCCCAGTGGGGGGGGGGTGCAGGAGGCAGCTGATTGATGTTTCTCTCTCATCGATGTTTCTAACTCTCTATCCCTCTCTCTTTCTCTCTGTAAAAAATCAATAAGATATATTAAAAAAAAAAAAAAAAAAAAAAAACTTCAGAGAGTTCTCTTACACTCTTTCCTTCATGTGAGGGTACAACAAGAAGTTGGCACTCTGCAACCCACAAGAGGGCTGTCACCAGAATCTGACCATGCTGTCATCCTGATGGTGGACTTCCAGTTTCCAAAATTGTGAGAAATATATTTCTGTTGTTTATAAGTCACCCAGTCTATTGGAAAGGCAAAAATGACCCAAACATGAGGAGAAGTGGTATTTATTACCAGAGGACCCCTCCTGTAGGTTGGTCCCCACTTCAGATATCCCAGATGTCTGAGGTTTCAGGAGTCCTGGAGGGTGAGATCAACCCAGGACCTAGAGAATTCTATCAAGGGGAAACAGATGAAAATATGGGGGCTCCTGAGAGAGGAGATTATTTAGGCAGAAGAACTTGAGGGAAGTATTTACTCAGGCTTGTGAGACTTTTAGATGATGGGAGCTTGGAGCTTTTTAGGAACCTGGAATCATCCACATTTGAAAAATCTGAAGATTGAAGTTGTCCAGGTCTTTGAAAAATTAAATGAAGAGATAATAGATGGTAATTTTTTTTTTTAAAGAGCCTGGTTGGCATGGCTCAGTGGTTGAGCATCAGCCTATGAGCCAGGAGGTCATGGATTGATTCCCATCTAGACACATGCTGGGGTTGAGGGCTCCATCCCTAGTGAGGGGGCATGCAGGAGGCAGCCAATCAATGATTTTCTCTCATCGTTGATGTTTCTATCTCTCTCTCTCCCTCTCCTAACTTCTCAGAAATCAATAAAAATATATATATTTTTAAAAAGGAAACATTAGGGCCGCCCCTACGCCCTTCACGCAACACACGTTCGTGGGGAACCTGGCGCTAAACCATCGTAGACGACCTGCTTCTGGGTCGGTGTTTCGTACGTAGCAGAGCAGCTCCCTCGCTGCGATCTATTGAAAGTCAGCCCTCAACACAAGGGTTTGTAATAAAAAAGAATAATTAAAAAATAATAATAAAAAAGAAACATTGCCTTAACTTGTTTGGCTTAGTGGACAGAGCATCAGCCTGCAGACTCAAGAGTCCCAGGTTTGATTCCAGTCAAAGGCATGTACCTTGGTTGTGGGCATATTCCCAGTAGGGTGTATGCAGGAGGCAGCTGATCGATGATTCTCTTTCTTCTTCTCTGTAAAAATCAATAAAATATGTTTAAAAAAATAAAAATAAAAAAGGAAACATTAAGCAACTTGAAAAGAAATGAGGGGTAATGGTTGACTAAAATTTATAATAGTCCCAAGGATGTGGTCCTCTGTTCCCTCTGCTGTCTCTCTGTGGGCACTAAAGATAAGTGAGTTTGCAATTCCAGGAAGTGAAGCTCTGATCCACTTTCCTGAATCAAGTACAGAAGCACACATTTTAAAATTAATTTGTTCATAGAGACAAGGCTTAACATTTGCAAAATAACTTAAAAAGACTGACAAAAAAAAAAAGCTATAAAATATATTACCATGCATTACCAGGTGAGTAGTATAAACATGTAGGGGAACCGAAACTGGTTTGGCTCAATGGATAGAGCGTCGGTTTGGGGACTGAAAGGTCCCGGGTTCGATTCCGGTCAAGGGCATGTACCTTGGTTGCGGGCATATCCCCAGCAAGGGGTGTGCAAGAGGCAGCTGATCGATGACTCTCTCTCATTGATGTTTCTGGCTCTCTATCTCTCTCCCTTCCTCTCTGTACAAAATCAATAAAATATATATATATATATATATTTTTTTTTTTAAAAAAAAGAAAGAAAGAAATATTAAAAAAAAAAAAAAAAAAACATGAAGGGGATACAGAGGTGAGAAGATTGGCTATAATCTTGGCGCCCAACAGTATTTAACTCTGAGGGCAGGAAGTGGCAGGCCCGTGAAAAATTAATTTTCTGCCCTGGCTGGTGTGACTCAGTTGGTTGAGCATCCTCCCATGCGCCCAAAGTTTCCGGTTCAATTCCCAGTCAGGGCACGTACCCAGGTTGTGGGTTGGCCTGTACAGAGGCAACCAATGAATGTTTCTCTCTCACATCAATGTTTCTTTTTGACTCTCTCCCTCTCCCTCTAAAATCAATAAAAACATATTTCTAAAAAAAAATTTAATTTTCTTCTGTGTACTTAAACACTGTTTTGCAATTTTTTCCAATGAGAATGTGTTAGATTTTCATCAAAACCATTTTTTTTTTAATCGAGGGATAAACAACAGTGACACAGAATCATAGAGGAGAACTTTCTGAAGCCAAGTTTATCAGTGCAGAGATGGTCACCTTCTCTTGGGGGTCTTGTGTGACCTTTTGCTTATACCAAACCCAGAGCCATCCAGGCTGTCTGCTGAGCAGAAAGCAAACATGGAGGAAGCCCTAGCCAGTTTGGCTCAGTGGATAGAGCATCGGCCTGCGAACTGAAGAATCCCGGGTTCAATTCCTGTCAAGGGCATGTACCTTGGTTGTGGGCACATCCCCGGTGGGGGGTGTGCAGGAGGCAGCTGATCGATGTTTCTCTCTCATCGATGTTTCTAATTCTCTGTCCCTCTCCCTTCCTCTCTAAAAAAACCAATACAATATATTAAAAAGAAAGAAAGAAAACCTAGAGGAAGGCAGGAGGCAGAGGAAAAGGCAGAAAACTTCACCAACTTTGCAGTGTTCCTCCGATTCCTGTGCCTTCCTGAGATACAGCCTCATTCCACCTCCAGGTTCATGAGACACTCCTCTCCTTAACAATCATAACAATCCCTTGCCCCTCCCCCCTCTCTTTTGGTTAAAATAAATTAGCTTACGTAGACCAAAAGAAAACAAGACTCCTACAATAAGAAGATGCCACCAGATCGATCACGAATGCCTGTGTCCTATGTCCCCAGGCTAACGTGAAAATTTATTGTACGGAGACCACAGGGGGCCACTGAAGGGTTTTAAGCAAGGATGTGACAAGCATTTTAGAAACAGTACCTCTCAGAAGCAGCAAGGAGGACCAATCCGAGATAGACAAGCCTGAAGCAAGGTGTCCAATCACAAAAAGCTATTTCAACAGTCCAAGTGAGAGGTTGTTTCAAGACAGGCTTCCTCCTGTTCTGCTCTAAATTTGCTGATTGAAATTCACTGGAATTCTTAATTACTCACTAATTTATACAAGAGAGTGAGGGAAGAAATAACCAAATCCCTACACCGACTCCAGGACCTTATAGTATTCTATCAAGGTTATCATGAGCATAAAAATAACCTTGGCTGGTTCTCCAGTATCTCCACAATCTAGTCCATACTCCTTAGCATGATAATCCAGGCTAGTCCTTTACAAGCTGTCCTCACATTCCCCTTCTCAGTCTCATGTCCTGCCCTCCTTCTCTCTGTCTACTCCACCAACTCAGAGCCACTCTTGCTCCTTGAGCAGGACATGGCCTTTTTTGGGGGGGCCTTGGCCTCCACAATCACATCCTCAGGATCTGGCCTACCCTCCTTCCTCATTGGGTGACCCTCTCGGCTTGTACACAAACCTCCTCCCCAGAGCACAAACAAAGGTTCTATTGTAACAACATGATTATTTGAGCCTGTCCACCCACTGCACGGACAGGCTCCAAAACTGGCTGTTCCACAGAAGCACGGATGGGCAGGACATTTTGCTTTCTTATTGTTGTTGTTGTTTTTTGTTTTGTTTTGTTTTGTTTTTCTGCTTGACACCCCCAGGCTCTACCCTAGATCCACAAAATCTGTGTCTGTGGGGAAAGGGCCCAGCAATCTGTATATATAGAGTCTTCCATTGATTTGTAGTCATCAGCCAGGAGTGGGAAGCCTCTGTAGCTCATAGAACACATCGCTGTGAAGCTTCCCAAACCAACCCCTCCCTTAGGGCTTTGTTCCCACCTTTGTCCCTCTCTTGTGATGGGGAGGCAGGAGAGTAAGAAGCTAGGAAAATTCCTTGGCAAATAGAATGGGGAAAGTGAGGCAAACAGCTGAACAAACTGGCAAAGGAATTTACAGCCAGATACAGAAGCTCACCTCCCTAGAAATCACATCTACGCCTCAGCTGTATTTCAGCATCTGCCTCAGAAAAGCAGCAGAGCCAGGCTGGCGAGGCCAGGACCGGCTGCAAAAGGAATCTGCTGAGAACAAGACCCTGAAAGGTAACACCTGGAGACGCTGATGAATATTCTATTGAATTCTCCCTTAAGACCTCCCTAAATCCCCAGCCTTTAAAAACCCTCAACATTGGCCGGGACCGTTTTGGCTCAATGGATAGAGCATCCGCTTGAGGACTGAAGGGTCCCGGGTTCGATTCCCGTCAAGGGCATGTACCTTGGTTGTGGGCATATTCCCAGTAGGGGGTGTGCAAGAGGCA